GTCTGGACAGGTAAATGTCGATCACACCCTCTTCTTCCTCTGGGAATGACAACCGGGCGAAACTCTCCAACGCCTCTCCTGCCCAGAGGGTGACGTCACGTGACAAGTCCATCAAACGCTTTACCAGTTTGAGTTGAGAGGTGAGGGAGGGAAGAGCTCTCACTCTGATGGTTTCCAGGTGCAGACAAAATGTAGAAACTATGAAAATACAAAAACGTGTTCATTAGCATAGTTAAAACATTAGTATCATTATAGAATTCCATATTAGTTTTGTTTAGAACAAAAAAAAGTAATATTATTTAATTTAGTATAATTAAAACAAAAGAATAATCTATCTATATATGTTATGAATTGTTGTTTGACAATGGAACAACGTTTTTTTTAGTTGAATTGTTTTGGTCATTTGTGGTGTATGTGTTTGGACAGATTTGGAATAAGTATATTATATCCTTGACCTTTACTGAAGTTAAAAAGCAGCAAAAACCCACTATTATACATTAAAGTACTATGTTACAAGTAAGTCCTGTATTCAAAACGCTTAATTTGGTTTTTATTAAAAAAAAACAAGGCCTATCAAAAAAATAAATTAAACTGATTAATCATTATAACATTATACCGGCTGACAATTTGAATTGCAACTAATGACAACACAGCATTACTAGGCAAAAAGGTTTGCAGTAATATTTTCAAAATCGTTCCAAGTAAAGCTGCTTTGTGTGGGCTTTAGTGGAAATGTATGCAATAACTTACTTACTTACTTACTTAGCACCTTGGGATTGCTTTTAGCAATGAAAGGTGCTTTACAAATCAAATGTATTATTGTTATTATTAACTTAGAAAAATAAAATAGCAGGTGAAGAACGCATGTGTACGGATTAAGCTCCATTATTGCTGGCTAGAATTTGTAACCATCGAGTAATCTTGCATATAGACGATCTTTGTCTCTGTGCACGGCCACAGGACTTTGTTTATCTTGTGTGTCACTGGCTCATCAACAGGATGGTTAATATACCAGCTAAAATATACAGAAATGTAATGTTTTTATGTAGCAACAAACTAATATAGGAGTCTCTAATGCATCATCAGGGAAAAGACTGGATTAATAGTCAAACAGAGGTTAATTATTGTTGTTGAAAGGTGTGTAAGAGTATAGAGCACCAGTAATTAGGCCTAGGTTAAATTAAACATAAATTCAAATTTCAAACGCAAAATTGAATTGAACATGCATTACGCAGTCTATATAATAATTTCCTTCAAATCCAAACCAAACAAAAAATCTGGTGATCGTGTGTGTGGATGGTGTGGATATAAATCGACCTGAAATGATTTTTAGATGAGACCAGTAGCCGCTAGATGGCGTTATAGTTCCATCTTTAACGTAGCGATCTCTAGCAAAACTTCCACTATTGTCAGAAGATTGTTTCAGGATGTTAGAGGGAATTTCACTGGGGCCATAACGTCTTAATGTTTTGCTGTGTTGATATAATTTAGAAACCATCATTAAATTGCTATCAGTGCGTTAGTAGTATGTAAAAAGCGGGAATTGCAACATCACGTTAGTAAATCCATGTGAGGACGAAGACATCTCTACTTTGTGGTAAAATAATCTTTCTACATATAACAAGGACTCAATAGACTTGGAGTTCATTAACCTGCAGTAGAAGATATTCTAAAAAAGGTCAGTTTACTTAGTCTGGCTGTGTTTTCCCCTCCACTTCACCCCTGCCCTTTGAGTTTTGAAGGGGCTTGAAGTCAACAGGTTGAACCGGTTTCTGAAGGCCCTGACCTCTGTCACACATTTGAAAAGCCCCTGAAATTCCTGTCTTCCACCAAGCCCCATGAAACAGCAAAAACACTTTTATTTTCACCTTAAACACATTGACATGCCACTGTATGGAAAAGCAAATCAAAAGGATACAATTAATGATGGCTGAATGATAGCTTTGCACATTCACATATTTCACAAATAAAGGTTAACGGTTTTCCTTATGCAAATTGAGGGTCAAATGATAGAGGGTGTACTATGTAGAATAGATTCTAAAGCCCCTTAAGGCACATTTGTGACTTGTGATCCTGGGCTATATAAACAAATGTCCTATGTGCTCCTGCTTTCACATTCTCCTTCAGTGTCTTTTTGTTTGTCGAAGCATATTGCAGTCAGTAAGGAGAATTACATTTGAAGCCTGCCTCGACAGCTGATCTTGCGCTCACGACAGGCGAGAAAGAAGATTTTTATATAAATTATAAAATGTTTTCCAAGTGAAATATGCAGTAATTGGCTAATTTCTTTAGAATATTTTATCATAAATATGAATGACATCCTCTTGATTTTTAGTGGCAACTGCATTTAAATCTGTCATGTATCTCAAAGCTTCCAAATCCTCACGTTCACCTGCCTCAGTACGACTTCTTATTTATCATTTATTGCATTTGAAGGCAAAATCATTATTGGATAAAGTATTTGACCTTTCATGTCGAAATAAGGAATCCCATTTTCAAGATTTTATAAGATATATTGTATATAAATGCCAGCCTCCACCTGCTCTATATTTGGACATATAAGAGGAAACCTATTTTGTGTCTGGTACACAAAGAGAGCATCTCTGGCGTCCATGATGTGTGAGTGACACTTCCCTCACCCAGCACAACACTACCTCACCCAGGGGAGGCATGTGGAGCCGCGGCCTCAGCTCTGCTCTGTGTTTCTGGGCAGTGCAGCTCGACTCAGGTGAGGGATGGTACGGTTGTCAGGTGAGCGCCACACTGGGCCAAGCCTCGGTCTCACTGTGTGGCGCTGTGCGTTGCAGCTGGCCAAAAGACAGACTGTGAGCTCTGGCTGTCAACATCTGCTCCAGAGACTGTACCATCTGCCCCGGGCCCCGCGGGGAGCCTCTCTCCCGTCTCAGACCAGCTGCAGAGCCCCAGACGTGGACCTGAGCAGTCCTGCAGAGCACAGAACACGGCCAAGACACAGTCAGAGCCGTCGTGTGCCGCTGGAACATTTGTCTCAAACACTTAGCTGCGTTTTATCTGTAGGGTGCCATCATAGCGAGATACACACGAATCCGGCTCCTGTTGAGCAAGCTTTCACTAGAGGAGAGAGTAAAGGTACACCATACTCAAAAGTCATGAAAGGGCGGATTATGAGACAGTAGGCCCCCTGGCAAAATGCAAAGAGCCCCACCACCTCAAAACAGAGACTTTGTATTTGGTTAGCCTTGTTTGTTGTTGTTTAGTGTGTCTTTGTAGTCATGATGCTCTCTTTTGTGTGTGCTTGTGGTTGTTGTGTGTCCCTTTGTGCTCCTTTTACATTTCTTTGTGGTTATTTTGATTCCTATTCCTGGTCGGTACTCATCTCTTTGAGTAATATTGTGTAGGTGGAGGCCATGGGGGCCACTGATATGTTCGGGCCCCTAGGCCTTTGCCCTGCAGGCTGGTTCAGTAATCCATCCATGATCATGGTTAGCCAAAACAACCAAATTGATGAGGTAGATTTTCATGTGGTTTAAATAACTTTGTATGAAAATGTATGATCAAGGAGAAAAAGAAGGAACTAAGGTGGGAATAGGAAGTCTAAGAAAGACATTTATGTAAAAAAATTATACTTAAGAGTATTAGAAAATAATGGATTTCCTTCTTTACGACTCCTTTCAAAGTTTTAATTACTGTACTTTCACAGTGGGAATGTCTAGACACAGACAGTAATCAATATTTCACAACATGGTTTATTCAGATGTGAGACTTTTAGTTGTTTCTAGTGCTGGTCTCAACTCAATTGTTTTTCTTTAATCTCATAATAAAAGTCTGACTCTACACAGTGTTTTTGTTAAGACCTTTTATTTCATCAATTTGAAAGAAACAAGTAAAAACAGTGTACAAAGTTTATATTATTTGTTTACTAAAGCTGGTGTCCTCGGTCTCAGGAATATGGGAGGGCAGGTACAAAAAAAGTTGAAATAAAAAGTATAAAATGTATTTCCCTATTTTCAGAAGGTGGCGGCAGAAGGGTGAGCGTGCATAGGAGTAAGTAACAATCAAAAACTGAACAAAAGGCTTGCAAACGATTGAAGTGAAAACAATATCATAAAAACCATTACATTCAATAACGTATGATGCACTTTTTGAAAAATGATTATCTGTCATAAAAAAAAAGAAATACTGAAGCGCTTTTGGAAACTTAGTACACTTTGAAATAGGAGTTTCAGTTGTCTGTAAAGGGGGGGGGGGGGAATCATTCAACAAGAAACTCTTGTTTTATTTGTATCAACAATATTATAATTGACATTATAAAATAAGCTAATTTAGTATTTTCAAACCAAAAAGTACAAATACAAGGCCAAATACAATCATTTTGGGGCAGCAAAGTGCATATCATTGGCACAAGAAAACTCATTTTAGTCAATGCTGGTCTCATATAAATAACTCAGAAGCTCGTGAAGGGATAGAAGTCCCCTAAAGTAGCAAATCAAAGATAACTCTTTGTGTGTGTTTCCCCTGAAGCCCAGTTTGTCTGCAAAGTATTCCTAAAGAAGTGTATTATGTTTAATGACCTCATTGAGGCTGCAGTGAATGCACTGGGTGGAAAACACCCAATACTGAACTGTACATGGAGGAAAAACCCAGAGGAGAGAAGAGTTTCTGATTGGTCAGCAGTGAGTGACCCTGATCAGAGGAAACCAGGAGGTCTGCAGCTCAGCATCGAGACGGCAAGGCATCAGGAACTAAAAGCACCTACTTCAGGAGGGGTGGAGGAGCTAGTTATTATCCTGAACAGGAAACTGTGGGGCCTCTCAGTGATTTGCAAACAGTCAAGAGGAATGCATTACCTTAATGATTAACCACTCTGTGACTCCTCACATCAGACCCGTTGTGGTGTAGTATGATAATACAACACATTGATTGGTGTCAGTTTTGCATCAGGGTAAGTAGAAAAGTGATACAATAAAAATCCCCTCCCGAAGATTTCAGTCTTAGGAGAATCAGCCATGTGTTACAAGACGTAAGAATGCAGAAATGTTGACTTTATTTGATACGGTACATTCACTTTTTAAGCCTAAAAAATGTCTCGGAAGTCTGAATGGTACTTGAATTGTTCAGAAGGAAAACATGGATTTTTTACCCACTCGATAAACAACACACTCTGCTCACATGATCTTTTTTGGTCCGCAGTATGCCTGTGTTCTATTTGAAATGGTTGATTCATATTCAGTTGTATATTTTTATTACAAAAACTCACATCAGTGGCCTAATTTGTGCATAACATGACTGCACTTCCCTATTCATTATGGTGTATGGATGCCTGCTCAGTATACAACATAACAACTAGGAGATGCAGGGTAGTGTTGAACTCTCTCGTGGTCAGTCTTCAAAGGCCTCAGAACAACCACAGTGATCTTTGTTTTGTCTTGAATTTCCTCCTTCCTGGAAAACACAACTTGCAGATTTGAAATGTTACATCCACCGACGGCATCTTGCAGACAATGCAGGGAGGATGGGGCTGTGGCCCCGGTCTTTAGAGAGTGCAGTCGGGCGGGGGTGGGGGGAGGCGGTGGGACCAGGTGAACGGATGATAGTCGCTTTAGGCTGTCCCACTGGCAGAATAGGAGAACTGGGGGAAGTGGGGTCTCCGCTCGCTGTCAAACGACTCCATACTGTCTTCTGAGGATGAAGGGCAACAAAAAAACGTATTTATTTGAGAACGATATGAAATATACACCGTGAGAATGTGTTCACTGTCAGAGATCTTGCCACATTCGTTCCTCGTTATACTCTCCCCCTTTAATATATCTGGATGTACAAGAAGAAGTGGAAGTATTGAAGTAAAAGTAGTAATCTCATATTATTTGTAGAAGTTAAACATTTTTTAAATAAATAAAAGTAAAAAAGGAATGGCATCTAAGTAAACAAAGTACCACAACTAAAAGTACTCATAATGTCCCATTTCAGACAAATATTTACATCACAAAGGTATACATAGTGATCCATTAGTGTATGTCCTTTTAATGTTGCTGCTGGTTAAGGTTCAGCTAACATGAGTGACTTTAATAAAACATCAAAATTCATTAGTTGATTTATATTTTTCTTTATAATTTGAACCTGCAAAGTCACTTCTGTAGTCAAATCCATGTACTGTTTCTTAATTGTTTTTCCAGGAAACATACACTATTCCAGTATATGACAGTAGAGACTGGGACAGTAGATAGTAGACAGAATATTCAGCCTTTCCTTTAATGTAGGAAGTGCATATAAATGATTCACCTGCATGGCCATTATATTCACATTGCTCATCATTTATACGCATGGTTTTGTTCTGCAGCAACGATTCATCAAAATATTCATTCAAAAATACATTAATATATATTTGTTCATATAGTACCATATATATATTCTATATAGTGTTCATTTATTATCTTTCCCTTATACTGAGTCATCTCTGAATTCACACCCTGGCTAATGCACATGCACTAGATGACCTTTCTGAAGCATGACACTGTGTTAATGGCACTGGCTCTCCAGGAGAGGGGAGACTCCTCTCAGGGGAGCTCTGTACACCCACAGGAAGGTTTTATGAACTCCCCAAGACTAAATCAAGCCTCACACCGAGGCTCAAAATGAACCTGACAGCTTACATTTTGTAATAACATTTCAAATGAAAGTGACAATCTTTTGAGGATTTCACATGAAAACACATTTAGTGACCCTGACTTAGTAACCATATATAATCAAGAAGAAACTCTCATCTTAAATAAATTGTAAATGTAATTCCTCATTCCTAAGAACATCTCACAGGAGGTCGATGGACATTTATTATAAAGTAAGGTTGCAAGTCATCTTCCCTCCCAGAGTCCACAGCTTCTACCGCTCCGCAATAAGGAACAGTCTAATGATGTGAAGGTGTGTTGAATGCATTTAAGTCATATTAAGTGTGCTTGATGTTTGGGTGTGTATGCTTTGGTGGTACCTTGTCCGGGTGGCGTAATAGTGATGGTCTGTGCTGTGAACTCCTCGTCAAAATATCGTGTGTCCGTCTCCGAGGTAACTTGGGGCTTAAACGGCGGGACCAGCTGTTTGGAGAGGAGAAGAGACACAAACATATCAGCACATCAGCGCCATCACTCAGTTTAGTAACAGTAACTTCACCTCTAGGGGAGAGTGACCTTTTTATTTTCTTCTGTCTTTCAGTGTTTACCATAACAACGAAACAAGGGAAAATAAAGCAACATGAACATTTTTAGAAACTGACCTTCTTCTCATAAACGTCTTGCCATTCAATTGATGCAAAAAACTTGTGTTGCATGATTTCCTTGGCATCTTCAGATCCGCCACCTAACCTGGAAGACAAATACAAAATCGATAAATATCCACTATTAATAATATTTCTAAAATAATGATTTCTACTTTCTTTTTATTTTAGCCTAACAAAAGCTCATAAGCTGGCATCAGAAGCACAACTCCCACTTTGAGCTTCCCTACTGCGGAGGGTACCCTGCCTCACCTCTGCATTGGCTCTTTCTTTAGGAGGCCAGAGAGCAGCGAGCGGGCCTCGATGCCGAGTGTCCGAGGGAAGCGAATGTCTTCCATGAGGATGAGCTCGAACAGCTTCTCGTGGTCCTGGTTGTAGAAAGGCAGTCTGCCGCACATCATCTCGTACATCACCACCCCCAGACCCCACCAGTCCACTGCCCGGCCGTAGTCATTGTCTTCCAGCACCTTGAGGATGAGGGTAAAACGTTTGTTAAATACAGCTGTTAAGATGCTCATGAGCCATTGTTAGTACATGGTGAGGAGGTATAGTGTGTACGAATGATATCCTTTTATTAAACAATACTATTGTTTTTTAATATAGTAAAAATATATATTATATCTGCTCTTTTTCAAAGAATATTTGCACAACAAGCTAAAGAAAATAGTTAGGTTGCCATGGTTTTGTGGTTGCGTTTGACAATCAGAAGTCTGTGAAGACAATAGCTCTTTAGGCTAAACTAAAGACCCTAAAGCAACTGTCCCCCCCACCAAAATCACCTGCTCTCCCCCCCAGTCTGGTCTTTTGAGGCAGCCCCAGCCAGCACTGACTCACATCTCACATTAGGAGAAAGGATAGAGTTTCCCCTGGAGCCCCTGCGCACACACACACACTACACACACACACACACACACACACACACACACACACACACACACACACACACACACACACACACACACACACACACACACACACACACACACACACACACACACACACACACACACACACACACACACACACACACACACACACACACACACACACACACACACACACACACACACACACACACACACACACACACACCACACACACACACACACACACACACACACACACACACACACACACACACACACACACACACACACACACACACACACACACACACACACACACACACACACACACACACACACACACACACACACACACACACACACACACACACACACACACACACACACACACACACACACACACACAACACAACACGTCGCTGAAATAAGTGACTGTGTGGCAACAAACACAAACTAGAGAGAGGGAAATATTTAGTCTTATAATTTCCATAGGATGACTTTCCTCTCCAGCGTTCTTAATGAGACAACTCCTCCAGTGTTGTGCTCCGTGAACAGCAACCTGTTGCATGACTAATGTGCTGCTGCGCAGAGTTGTTCCAAGGTCTCAGGGGACATGTACTGGATTCTACCTCGCCAGGCGGATGTTGAAGGTGAGATCAAGACAAGGAGAACAGTCTGTTCTCTTAAACCTCTTGCAGCATGATGCTAGGCAATTCAGACCTAAGAATAGAAACTTCAGTAAAAGATGTGGGCGGATTAATAGAATTAGATATGGACACAACTGTGCACAAGACGAGAGAGAGAGGGTCTCTGAAAACAGATGGGACGATGTGTCCGTAAAAGGAACAAAACTACTGTGTGATGTGTGTGTGCACGCATGTGTGTGGGCACTCCGCCTGGCGCTGCGGTGAGTGGTGAGCATCGAGGAGGAGGATTGGGAGGGCAGGGGGAGTAACGTGAAGCCGGTGTGGGGCTAGGATTACTGGGCCGTCTCTATTTCCAGCGCCGCTGTCGTGTGATTCACACCGTGCGACAGCTGGGCCCGCAGCTGCCCCATATATGTAGAAGAGCGCCACAGCTGTGAAGCTGCCAGGAGCGCAGGAGCCAAGCTCATCCCTCATATACGTAACCAGGACTGCTGCCTGGGCCTCAACCCCAAACTAATACTGTTACACTGCCCCAAAGGAGCACCGACAGGGGGAGGAGAGAGGGAGGAGAGAGAGGGAGGAAGGAGCAGATAAAAGCACAAACACTTGCTGCTGCTGCTGGAGCTCCACACAGTGCAGAACTTTGTGAGCAAAACAGTGCAGAACACAGAGAGCCATTAGTCTGTGAATCCAAATCAGTTTCAGTGGCTAGATAAAGCCTGTCCACATTTCTCTGTAGATGTTCCCTAAAAGCCTATTCCCTCAGCCAATAACAGTTTTGTTCTTGTAACTTCTTAATGAAAGTGACAAAGTGAATTTGTCCCGCTCCTGACTCCAGAGACAAACTGGTCAGGCAGATTGGGTCTCTCCTCCCTCGCCCTCCCTCCCTCTCCCTCCTGCTCTGGGTGGAATATTCCCAGACGTTACAGCATTCCTGTGCAGCACACACAACAAGGTCATTGTTTACTGCAGAACAACCTGTAACACTGCCTGGCCCGCACTCCATAGAGACACTTGCCAGCGACCCTGTTGCCATGGTAACGCCCCCTGATGTCTCCCTGCTCTCCGCTGCCGAGGCAGGAGCTGTCACAGACTGTGCTCCTCTGTGGAGCCAGACAGAGTTCAGCACGGACAGGTGGGGCCTCAATAAAAAGGTTTATGGAAGTATAGAAAAACAAACATTTTCTTTCATGTTTGTCCAGGTGTGAGGGAGTAAATATTCTCACGCTAGCTATGACGGCCTGGTGCTGATGGTCAGAGGCAGGTTTGGTCTGACTGATGAAAATACGACAGGTATATGTTCCTGTGAGGCAGCCTGAAGCATTGTGGGATAGCGTGCTCATGACAGCTCTGGCTCTGTGCGGGTCAGGCGAGGCATCCAGGGCAGCAGCCGGGCTGTGGCCCCCCTGGTGCCCCACAACAGCTGTAGCCAATGTGCTCCTTTTCTTTTTTTTTTCAGGGGCGGAAGCTCACGTTTCCTGAGGCGCTGCCAGCCTATCACTCCACCTCCTCACCCCCAACCAGAAAATTCCAAATGGAGGCTAAAAACAACGATACGGCAACTGTGTCAACATGGACACCCTTCTCCCGGAAAACATTTTTACAGCAACAGGCGAGGGGCTAGCGCAAACACTCATGTACTTACTCACCCACACACACACACACACACACACACACTCACACACACGGCCAACCCCTCACAATGCAATATCGGGTTACACGGCCCACTGCAACACTTGTCATACCTGCACGCAATAGGGAGAAGCCACACCCCCCCACACAGCAAATATGAGCAGGCTGCCCTGCCACGGCACACTCATTAACTGGAAGACTTCAGCTGGAGATTAGACAGGCATTTTGGGACAGCTGCTTTTTCCACATGCTTCTCATACACTGATGTCCAACAACACACGTGTGTGTGTGGAATTTCAAAATGATCTCACTTTGTTTTTGTTTATTTAGTAACACTATAGCCAGGTAAAATATTGAATGTGAAGTATTTCCCTCCATCGGGCTTCAGAGTCTTTGAAGCTGTTAAGTCTTAAGTGACCTAAAAGGTTACCTCATGTTTGTTTTTCCTTTAATTTATCATCCATCTGTACGGGCCTACACTAGGTTGACTTTGTTGCAGGTAAGGGTGAAGTCAATATTTCAGGTGGACTGAATCCGTGCAGTGGTTACCTCGGGTGCCAGGTATTCTGGCGTCCCACAGAACGTTTTCATGGTGGCGCCATCTGTGATTCCCTCCTTACACAGGCCGAAATCTGTGATCTTTATGTGTCCGTCTTTGTCCAGCATAAGGTTTTCCAGCTGAGGGGGGACAGGAAAAAGACAGATGTTAGCATCACTGTAAAATGAGTCACTGTTAAGGACAGAATAAAGCCAATCATTCAGGGAGGTGATGGGAATATTATTTATTGAATGTATAATAATTCAGGCATCTGTGTTTGTGAAGTTTCGGTCATATAATTGTGCAAGTATTTCATGAAATCCTGAACATTTGGAAAAAGTTCAATCTAAAATAAATGAATGAGCTACATTTATGCAAGATGACATAAACAAATTAGCACCAGCAGCTTTGATGACATTTGGTTGCTGCCTACCACCAAAGTACATAATTAGCTTTTTCTCCCTTTTTTTAAAAAATAATAATGAATGAATTACCAAATCCTTGTGTACAATGTAGTGTTTATATCTTTTGCTTATTTTTATCCCTCGTTTTAAAAAAGGCATTCTAGCTAAGCGTCGGCATGAAACAATGATTGCGAGCATGTCACAAATGTATTTTCAAAAAACTATAGAAACTAAATAATATAATAGTTTATTTAATGAATCTATCTCTTTTAACATGCCTACACAAACATGTATTTAAAAAAAATTCCCTCAAACACAGGTGGATGGAAATGTAGCCGGTGATTGCATGTAGAGGTAGATTGACCTTAAGGCTGTAAGGTTGTGCATCATGCAGTGTCATGACATGAGGCTGCATGGCCTTTTAATATCAGTGTGTCCTCCCTCTGTCTCCCTCTGTCTCCCTTCCTTCTCCCTCTCTCCCTCTCTCTCAGTTAAAGTCACCTGGCAGCTGTAGCTCACACGTGGCCAGCAGCGCCTGGCCAGAGTCAGCACATCCTCCAATCCTGCTACCCTGGCATTTTCAGGAGAACCCTAGCAGGCTGGGAGCCTGCCTCATAAACCCAAGGGAGAGGGGGGGGAGGGAGAGAGTGCTGTGCTGTGCTGTGCTGACCTGGCTGGTATAGTTTTATCAGCTGGAAGTAGCATGGCTACAAATGCACACTGCAACACCGATAACCCCCCACAGCACATCTAAACCCAAACATGTCCTATCAGTCTGCAGCATCCACTTCTGATCCCATCTGAGGAGTTTTCTGCAGCTTTTGAATGCAGAAAATAAAAATGCGTCCTTTTGAAATCATTTTCTCTCATTTACCTAAACCTGCTATGCTGCCAGTGTACAAAATGACATTAATCAGGCACACAAATCACCCACTGAGAGCGCTGTGCGCATGCTATAACGGGATGCAGTGTGTGCAGAGAGGACTGGTGGTTATTTCTGTCTAGCTGCAGTAAGCGTATGGACTGAGCCTCCCTCCAGCTGCAGTGAGGTCTGTAGACTGATCTGGGGGAGGCAGATCAATAAGCCCTGTCCACTGCCACTGCTCTCTATGGAGGCAAACCCTATTTATATCCTGCCAGGGGAGAAATGAAGGGAAGGAGGGGAGAGGGAGAAAGAGGAAGACAGAAGAGAGGCTGACAGCGAGGATGAGAGAGAGTGAGGATGTGTCTCACACCTACCTTAAGATCTCGATACACCACGTTTCTCTCAGCATGCAGGTAGTCCAGCGCCGACACAATCTCTGCACCGTAGAATCGCGCCCGCTCCTCTGAGAATACACGATCCCTTGACAGGTGGAAGAAAAGCTGATTGACAGAAGAGAAGACAAGAGAAAGATGGTTAGTCCAGGAAAAATAGGAACAGTAAAACGTATTCTGATTAAACTACAGGTGCAGATTTACTGATAGCTCAAATGGTTTACCTCGCCGCCGTTCGCATACTCCATGACGAAGCACAAGCGGTCATGTGTCTGGAAGGAGTATTTCAGTCCCTGCAGACAGAGAACGAAAACGCTTAAAGCAGAACTTGGTGATGTTTCCAGCAAAGTCAAGAGGAAGCTGACATTTGAACAGCTGATTGTAACATCTAACATAAATACACACGTTGCAGCTTTGAACCTTACATTCACATTTTTTTTTTAACTCAAATGTCTAACAGGATGAGAGAAACTACAGCATAGTGCATTTAGTGCGTCGAACCTTTTCAACAACTGTTGTGTGGCAAACATTGATCCCATTCATTGCATGAGCACATCACATTATATGTTGCCTCCTACCGACACTTAAATCAAATTGGAGGAGCTTTCACTACAGCCCACCTCAGACTTACAGAAAAGGGTTAACTGATAACAACAAAAAAAGGAACGTTCAGTGTTGGTATAAAAGGCCTGGCTCGTCTGCAGCCTTTGTAAGAAAACTCTTCAAAACATTCCTGTTGAAACTGCCCCTTTATCTGAAAGGATGCTGCTGGGTTGGATTGAAGAGGCTCCCGAGGATCTCTGCGAGTTAAAATAAGGTTTGGTTTAGGTATATGGAGGGGCTCCTTACTGTCAAGAACGGATGCTTTGAATTCTGGAGGACTCTGTTCTCTGTGAGTGTGTGCGCCACTTCATCCTGAAAAAAAAAAGCAACAAAGACTGTTTGTGCAACTCTCACAATGGCTTACCATTTAGGTATCAGTCATTGCTCCACTGCTCTCCCCCCAGTGTATGTCCTCCTCTTTTACTTGCTCATTGGCATCCACTCACTTTTGCTACGATCACCTCCTTCTTCAGGATCTTCATGGCGTAGTAGCGTCCTGTGGCCTTCTCCTTTACCAGGATAACTTTGCCAAAAGTGCCTTTTCCCAGGAGTTTGAGGTATTCAAAGTCGTGCATAGTCTGGAGAGCCAAAGGAGAGAAAGTGGCGTTTGGTTACGAACAGAAGCATTAACAAACTCGTGCTCTAACTATCCAGGGCACACAGTCCCACTGACAACAACACGGAAGCATTTCAGGCATGATTTCACCCACTGTGCAATTTCCCCTTCTCTAATGGTTTGGCCTATATGTGGTTGTGTCTGAGTTAACCTCTGACCTTGGCCCTAAGGAGAATGTTGAAAATTGTTGTGTGGGGGACATACAATCCCGTGGCCTCGGACCTTTATGTCATGACACACGTGGGGGTTGTGAAACCTGGTGGACATACTATCTGGTGCTAAGCCACCCATGGCTGATGTTAGGAAAGTAAAAAAGAAGCTGGGGAGAGGCGGAGGAAAGTGGGCTGAAGTACAAATAAGGCAGAGTTCGTGGAAGAGTAACGGTCATCTTGGGATACCAGCGGGGTGGGGAGGAATACAAGTGGGTTGAATTCATGTTAATAGAAACTGATGTGTTTCTATGTGGGGACAGCAGAGCTACACAGCAGGGTCAAACGGGCCGTACCACTTTCTGTCTGGGTTTGGTCAGGTAGACCTCCATGTCCATGGGGTCCGGAGAGAGGTCTATCATCTCCTCCTCTTGTTTCTGGAGGCCTTCAGCCACTGCTTGGATGGCTTTAGTCCATTCTTCCCTGAGGGACAAACAGGCAGCAGAAAGATAACATCAGCCCATTTACCATCATGCAAGCCAAGCAGCCCAATCATGTCATTGTCTTCTTATCAACAGGAAGGTAACTGTGAGTCCTGCCAATAGCCAGGGAACCTTGTGAGAGAGCATAATAATGATTAAATGTGTTGGTTTGCTTCTAGATGTTAGAAAAACAAAGCCGTTAAACTGTTTTCTAGCAACAGGGGCCAGTTCTCTGCATGTAAATGATTTGTGTTTTACTGCTTGGTGAGCGGAGAGATGTGTGCTTCTCGCTTGCCTCTCCTCGGGGGTCTCCACGTGGAAGGTGCGCTCGATGACAGTGGTCCACTGCAGGCAGCGGATGATGAATGTGTTGGGCTTGGGCCGTTCCGTCTTCATCAGCTGGCACTCTGACCGCAGACAGGGAGGGAGGGAGCCGGGGAGGAGGGCCGGTGTGGAGGGGAGCAGAGGAGAGACAGACCCACAGTTATAGCCATTTATCTTTATCGCCACCCTAACACACACTGTCGCTCAATTTGGAGAAGAACAGGTGCACTTTGGTGGAGGGAAACAACTTCGATCCTTAACTTGTCAGCCCCTTTAAAACAAAACGTTTGCCAATAAGGCTGGGCATAACATCGATGCTTGGTAAAAATCATTAAACAAGATCAGATATCATTTTGGATTTTGTAATCATTGCATTAGTGTAGTCTTTCCCTGGTGATAAACGCTGCATTACAGTAAAGTGATGTCATGTTCTAAACTTACCAGACACTCTCTGTTATATGCCTTAGTTAGTCATTAAATTAATATAACTGATGAATGAGTTATCAAAAATCACATTGTGTAAATATTTTGTAAATGTACTAATATGTAACCCTTTCATATTTTACACTGTTATTGATCTATTAGATCCAAAATAATTCGTTGATTTTTTCCATATCGCCCAGCCTTTTTGCTATAGTTTAGGCTTTGATGGAGCAAACCCAGAATGAATACATTAAAGTTCTAGAACAATTCTGCGATAGTACACTTTTTTAATTTTTTTAAATGATTCTGTGTTTTTTGTTTGGACTATAAGTGTATATACAACTATTTTCATTATTGATTCATCTGCCATTTATTTTCCTGTTTAATTGATGGTTTGTTTGTCTATATTATAGAAAACCCTGAAAATGGTGACTTCTTGCGTTCAAGTTCTTGTGCTCTCCAAACATTGCAGAAACCAAAGAATATAATTTTAACCTGAACAAAATAAAAAGGGAAGCTGAAATCAGAAACTGATGTCATGTTTGAACAGACAAATCTTTCATAACTTGCCAACGATTTCTTAAAAAAGCAGCTCAACACATACTTTCCCTCCGTTTCGCTCAATTATCTCACTTTTTAGGCAAATTATTGTCTTGTAAGCGGTTTGCAAAACAATTACTCACAACAGTCTAATAACTGAATTCTAAGATTTCCATCTGCACCTCCTTCACATTAACATCTGTTCCCAAATGAAACATGTCAGCAAATATGTCAAAACGTGACACAAAATGGCCTCTGTCTGATAGATGGAGGACAGGGGAGTGGACCACCACTGAGATCCAACATGGCTCCATCAGGCTGAGTATGTAATCCAGCTGCAGCAGCCCCGTCAGCAGCGCCGCACCATGTGTCCTCTGTGGCTGGGTCGCCGTGGTGACAAAAAACAAAGCTACCGCTGATGGAGACAGAGCCTCAGAGCGGCGCCCAGATAAATACTCAAAATCAGGCGGCTAATAGCCATGATAACTCAAGAGTGTCGGGGAGGAAACATTTAGTTAAACAAACAGTATGCTGTCTAATTGCTGTGTTCAGTCATCTGCTCAGCTTATCACAGCAACTTTCTCCGATGTGAAGATGGAGAGGGCTCGGCTGCTCTGGGCATTTTTTCTTTTTTGTCGCCGTTTTTATAAAAACTAAGGATTTGTGAGAGACACACACAGAGAGGAGGAATGGCATCTGATGTATTAACGTCAGGAGTCAGACATCTTGCACACACGCTCGCTTGGTTTGCCCTGGAGCGACACCCCAATTGAAAGAAAGTTGCAGTGAAGCCGTTAACATCATACAGCCTAACGTGCTAATGTCTCTGTTCACAACCAAGGAGTGGTGTAATGTATTGAAGTACATTTACTCGAGTACTATACTTCAGTGTGATTTTGAGGTACTTCTTTTTATTCCATTTTATGCTACTTTATAATTCTACTCCACTACATTTTAGAAGCTAATATTTTACTTTTGACTTTACTGCATTTATTTGCCAAGATTAGTTACTTAACAGATTTAGATGATAGGTTTATACAAAATATAATTAAACTAATACATAAACTATGATACATAATTATAGTTTAAGATATCAAGAAGCAGTATATAAAGTTATTAAATTAACTGCACCTTTACCAGCTGTGATGAACATATTAATGCATCAATAATAATAATAATCCAGTAATCTCATATATTTCTGAAATTACATTAAGCCAAATAGGTACTTTTAGTTTTTGTATTACTATGTTATGCCAATACTTTTGTACTTTTACTAAAGTAAGATTTTGAATGCAGGACTTTTACTTGTAAACACGTATTTTTCCTTCTCACTTTCATTTTACATCACAGGCACTTGGGCACAATTTATTTGGGGTGTTTTGTTCCGTTAATAATTACTTTTCAGAGTTGGATAGAGAAGCATGCAAACATATATGTTACAAAAATGCAAGTAAAAACAAGAAAGCAGCAAACAAAAGAAGGGTAAAACCCAGCTGCCAAGAAACGGAGGGAAAAAAATGCAGTGGTTTCTCTGAAGCAGATACTCACGTGCGACAGAGAAGTTATTTAAGGGGGTTTCCAGCTGGTCAACATCTTGCGGTCGCTCTTTGTAGCCAATGAATGTACCATCACTCTTCAGGAGAAAATACCTCGGCCTCCAGGTCTTGATGTATTCTCCTGATATGAAAAAATAGATTGAAATTGTTATAAGAGACGAGATCAAATCCAAGTGTGACAAAGCAATAGTGTTTTTCAGAAACATCACATTCTTTCGCATGTTGTTAACATTGTAGTTTCATGATTAATGACAGCACAGGGATGTCCTTTCTTTTTCTGTTTTAAATCAAAGAGGTGCAACCCGTTTCCTGGAAGTAATTACTATGCTGTTCACTAGTGTCCCCTGAAAAAATGACCACCTTGTCACCGTTTTTCTTTGAGTGTAGGTCAGCTGCAGGACAAATGGTGGTTTGAGTAGGAGTCAGGACCCTTTCCTCAGCCCTGTCTGTCCCCTTTACAGCGATAACTTGCAATGTAGACTCTCTCAGGGAACATTTAAACGGTCCAAAAACGTGCTCTATCCTCCGATCATTTCCTTTAACTGGCACGGTAAAATATGGGTGTTTTGACTTGTTAAAAAAGTCTAATTAGTCAACCTGAGACAAAAGAAGAACCTCCCAGTTATTGTCTTGTACCCTTAGGAGTGCTCCACTGATTTAGCACTGTACTCCCAGAACACTGTTGGCCTTTAGATGGCAAGTTTAAAACAAGAAGGAAAGTTTGAAACAAGTATCAAAATCAAATACACCACACCCAGGGACATCTTTGTATTCCACACATTGTTCTTTATTGTCAAAACTTTGGACCTAATTTACCCAAAATGCAAGTTGACTTTCAACAGATCAGTTGGAAATGTGGGTGTTTTTACTTGTAGCCCTAACAAACACCGCCTCAAATAGACTTTTGACGCGGTCCCAACGTTTTTACAGAACTATTTCCATAGAATATCAAGCAGTACTCCCTAAAACATGTAAAAACGACAGTCTGTGAAATTCCCCTTTCCGTTTATAATTTTTTAGGGATGAATTTTAGTTAATCGTTATAGACCACAACCACTCTCAACCACTGTCTCTTCCCTATCAATCATTTTGTAACACAAGCATCCACAAAGCCTCCATTTGATTTTCAAATAAAACTTTCCACAATTTCAATTTTTTGGACAACACCCATAACCTCAAGCCATGCATGTGCATCCCATTCACTTAGACACACTAGCATCACACAAATGAATCTCTGGTAGGCAGACAAAACTCAATTTATTCCGGTGATGCTTCAGGAAATGTCGTGCCAGATGTTGTGCAGACGGGGGAAAAAAATAGCTTACATACTATAACAAGGCAGTGGCACAAAGTGGAGAGGGAGTTGAATATTTATACAGGAAAAGTGTAATTTATTTTTAATTACGGAGCCGCATATTAACCCCATGCAGAGCCGTAGCAAGCTGTCCTTAATTGCCCCATTTCCTCTAACACAGAAGTGTGTGTGTCTGTAAGGGAGAGGTAGGAGATCTGTCAATATGAGCTTCTGTTACCCTCCTTCAAAGCCACACATGATGACATATCATGTGTGAGATGGTACAGATCAAAACAGCAGCCTAAAGTGTCTCCTCTGATTAGTGTACATCCTTAGAAAATATCTAAAAGGAAAAGACAACAAGTCACAACACCGGCTGAACATCACTTTCAAGAGTTGCCACTTTTGACACCTCAAAATGATGGACTATCTCTTAAAAAAAGTAGAAAGTGATGACATGAGCGGCAAACTCTAATAGGGCTAGGGTTGCAAAATTCTGCAAATATTCAAGTTGGAACTTTCCATGGCGATCGATGGTGAATTTATGGGGAATAACGGGAGTAAAATAGAAATATGGGGATTATTCGCTCAGGCCTGTATGCAGATAGAAACACACGTTTTACCATATCATAGGAAGACAACATTAATTTAATCTGCCAAATAAATACATGAATATAATCAATCAGTCCTTCAGCTCAGACAGTCCAGTACTATGAGATGCACATGTGATGGAAGGATGTGCTTTCAGAGGGTAGTCATTATACGGAAACACCGTTTAATTGGATTCTGGCAAATGATCGGCTGAATGCAGTATAGGTTACAAATCAATGACAAGCAGTTCCAAGTGGATATACTGTTCACTTAAACAGGTACCGTGTATTTCACTCGGAATAAAACAAAAATACATTCACTTTAATAGTAAAATCTACATTTTAATATTAATAATGTTCTTAAATTCAAGAATACCCAAGCTGAACTCCCCTTAGAATTTCACCGTACTCTTTAGGACCCCTTGCAACCATTAATTGGACATTTTCCAAATGGCTTTTCTCTGTCAGCGTAAAAGGTGTAGAGGAAAGGGAAAGCACGCTTTAGAAGAGCACAGTCATTCTAGTCGACCACATACAGCAGGATGAAGCCTTGTAAAGCAGGCAACTTCCAGCAGAGCATCACACCATCAACCCCAAAACAAACATCCATGTGTAAAAACACCTGATTTACTGCCGCTGGCAAGTTGGTGGCGGCAATCACCACAGCCGAGGAAAACATCTGCCCCAGAGCACAACGTACTTTACGTGTTAAATCCACAGCAGATGTCCCATATGTTATTATTACATTTTTCATCATGGCATAGGAGAAGTTTTTTTTATCTTGTTTCTGCAGAGTAGGCGTTTTCACGGCAAACACAGCTCATTTAGAAATTAGCTTTACTTCAGGTTGCCATTCTTGCCGCCTCCCAATAAAGCCACTCTTACTACATGTATCGTCCTAATTAGAATACACACCGGCAAAAGTCTGTTCGGTGATGGATTTCACTCGTGTCTGTTTGAATGCGACACAATTACAGGGTCGTTTGTCTGTTTTAAACTGCAGGCCTCACCAATCAACTTCCACATCAGTCACCCACGCATGCACGCAGGTCTCCAGAGAATCCTCCTGCAGAGTGTTATCTATCACAGTCCTTCAGGAGAAACAGACTACCTTACTTCAGCATAAAATCTAAATATTCAAAGCGCAGAAGAGGTGCAATTTAAGATTGCACGTAGCCATGTTAGTATCATCTGCGAGGTAAACCAATAGCCAGATCAACATAGAAATAATTTGTGGCCAGAAAGTCCCCTGAGCCTTCAGCACCGATCCATGTTTGCCTCAGATGGGCCCCAGCTGGCGCCCTGTTCTGTGGTCAGTTTTGGCTGACCCATATCCCCCAGCCATAGTCCATGCCAGCCCACAGTGAGGACAGCATGTGCACAATGCAGAGGCAGCATAATGAGACCCCTACCTGACACCAGACGAAGGTACATCTCAATGTTGGGACTTTTAGTTTAGAAGTTTTTGGTTTGGCAGCAGGAATGCAGCAAACCACTTCCAGCTGAGTGATGACCTTATAGCATTCGGATCCTGATGGGCAGAGACAGGTGTTTATGTGTACGCATTCATGTGCTTGTGTGCAAATACATTTGTCTGTGTACACCGCTCCGTGAGTGAGCAGCGAAAGGTATTTGTATTTAACAGATTACAACAACATCCAGTTTGGAAGGCTCTGAGCTTCTCCTGCCAGCTTCAGTGACGCACAGCACCCACCAGAAGTAGCATGGGTGGTCATACGTGACGCAGCAGCGCATGGCACGGTGTGTGTCAGCTCCACATTCTCCCACACTGAGGTGGCCTCGGTCACATGGGTGTCGGGAAAGATGACAATGTCAGCTTACCATTCTCAGTCACTAGAGTCTCTAAACAACTTACTGCAATATTTAGGACATTATGACAAGTCTGCATGGTCACTGGGGAAAGGCAACACAAAACAAAGAAAAGATCATCAAGCTTGTGGTGCAAGGAATGTAAAACTCCAGATCATATCCCTTCATGGGATTAAGAAAACAGCCAATATGATAATGCAAATCACACTTTTCTCAGGTGGATGTAAATAAATGACTTGTGTGAGACTTTTGTTATCTTTTTCTACACACATGTTTCAAAGATGGTCACAGAGATGTGAAGTACCTCCACATCTGCATTGCACACCCTTACTTAGCACAGGCTCTTTCTAGACAGGAGGACACGGCAACTTCGTCGTCTGTGACCACAAATTGTGTCACATGACAACAGTGGAAGCGGCTATATCCGGCTGTTTGTGTGTGTCTGTGCGTGTGACTCCACCACTCTGCAACGCAACACCCCCCGCAAACAGTCTGCCCTCAGAGCATAAACAACAAAGATGACCCTTGTCAGCTTCCTATTTACACCCATTTCCCCTTCTACTTTAATTCAGTTCTACTTTCCACACTGTGGCCTTTGTTCAGTGCCGACATGACGAGAAAGTGAAACTGACAGCTGTTGGGAGAGTAAATGTGGAAACACTGTTATATTCTGTAATATACACCAACATATTAATTAAAGACCAATCTGCTGTCAATACTCAAAATGACTTGACCTCAATGCTCTGCAGATTACATCCTGTGTACAGTGAGAGACACGGCGCAGACAGAAGACAATGGACCTCGTAACAACACAGGAGAGCCTTCTGCTTTTAAGTCAGCTCTTCATCACTGATGTAAACTAAACCCTTTTGATGTCAACATGTTCTCCAAAACAGGAAACTGGCCAACAGACAGACTGACCACAACCTAGATAAGATCAACCTTCTTCATGTGTAAGGTCTCACTGTAACTGAGACACACTTTAATGTGAGGAAATCCACTAAATGAAGTGGTAATAAAAGTCAAGTGTGACAGCAGACATGTGGCTGAACTCCGCCAAATTAGGGGAAGGGTTTTTGACACCAGATGAAAGATGAGAGAACTAGAGGGGATGAGAAAGCTACGCAGTGTGCAAAGAGTTGTGCTGAGCGGAGTGGTAGTGAGACAGATCACTACATATGTTCCCCACATATGTAGGACTGTGAGTGAGGGGGGTGAGCTCAAGTGAAGTGTGTATGAGCCATGCGTACGTGTGTGTGTGCATGGGAGGAGCTGTCAGGGCCTGATAGAGTGTCTTTACATGACAAGCAGCTGCTGAGGTCTGGGATGCGCGCTGGGCAAAGTGGAAAATAATGAACGGAGAACCGCTGCCAAACACAACAGAATTCATCTTTATTTGCCAACTGC